ACGCCGTATGCACGCACGCACACACGCGCGTATACACGCACGCACAAATAGGCGTATGCACGCACGTACAAACGCGTGGACGCACGCACGTACAAACGCGCGTATGCACGCATCAACACACTCGCGTACGTAGAATACACTTTGCGTGTGAATTATAGGTAAATAGAGCTAACTGCTATTTTTATGTGTTAATAATTAATTGTATTTAAATTACACGTACAAGTAAATATATTTACATTAATTACATTTTTATCTCAATCTGGTTCTTAAAAATGTATACTCCAGAGGAATATATATTCATAATTCGCAACACCATTTCTTCATTTGGCTGTTATCATTAACTGATGGATTGATTCTAAGACAAATACCCCGCCGGCAATCACACCATGAATAAACACCCACGAAACACGTAACATTCATCTCATGACATTTACCCAGTGATTTTAGTTTCATTTATGAAATTTTTGTGCGGAATTTATTATCTCTTATTTCTCTTCTTGTATTTATTACCTCCGCCAGGGGGCTTGGCTATGTTGGTTATGTTTTCACCGGCGTGTGTTTGAGTGTTGGTTTGTGGGTTTGTTAACATGCACGTTTCAGTTCACTTCCGCTAGGTGCGCTGGCTGTAGATTCACAAACACGCAACCACAGGCTAAGGGGCAACCACAGTCCTCCCCCACCTGCACGCTCGCACTAATCCGGATCCAATTAATTATTTAATTAATTAATAAATTTTTCCACTTAATTAATTAATTAATTAATAAAAAATTTTACATTGAGAGAATTCAGCTGCCTTGGCGGAGGTCTGTGCTCTACGAGTGCTCTAGTTCATCATAGTTTTGAGTGAAAATCCATAAATAATTTTGAATAAGAAACCATGTTATGTGTAATTAATAGCTAAAATATACCAAAATTTTACATCTGGAGACAAGATGTTGTCTGCAATGCATCTCAGGTAGTCAAGGAATGGGCATTTATCATATTCACTGACAGTTGTTGTTGTTGTTGTTGTTGTTGTTGTGGTTGTGGTGGTTGGCCTAGTCTAATACATAAGTATAAGCTCTAGTATAAGAACAGCCGCTCTCCTCCTCCGAGGGGGCGGGGGAGAGTATTGCCCGATCTGCTGTATCGAGGTGCGCTCACATTTGTGTTCAACGCCACAATCAAAATACAAAATATATATTAGGCCGATGAAAGTTGATTTCATGGTTCTCGTCAGGCATTGTTGAGATTTTGATGAGGGATTTAGATCAACATTCATCTTTCATATACAAACCAATAGAACTTAGTCAGGGTATCAGGTCTTGTACATATGCAAAATAAGATTGAAAAATGTCATAACTTCTTTGTTGACAGTTTTTACTCAAATTTTTACTGTTTGTCTTCCATACATGTAGTGCTGACTGCATGTAGGCCTAGATTGTTGATTTTTTGAGGCGGGAATTTCATATGGGGACTTTTTGATGCGGGAATTTCGTCAGCGATGAGTGTTGAACTTTTTTGGTGCGGGAGTAAAATTTGATGCGGGCGCTGACGAGAACCATGACATCAACTTTCATCGGCCTTATTGAAAATGTTACAAATGCGGTACATAGTAATGTTTGAACATGTTTAACAAATTAATGATAATACACAGATATATATGCAACCGAATTTATTTCGTGTCATAAAAATATACAACATTGTACTGCGTAAGATTTTCAATACTGTTATTCAATTCCAAACCGACACGTTCCACATTATATAGTGATTTGTGATATGGCAAGAACTCTGGAGTATTACTATCACTCTAATGAACTCCTTTGCATTCCTATAATACATATTACTTATATTATTTTTTCAATATATATATAGGCCTATATATATAAACATAAAGCCAATTTTTTCAGCTAAACTAGCGCAATCAAAATAAACTGATAGCAAAATACTATGAGCTAATAAATACTGCAATGCTAAAACACCGCAATCAATACTTAACCTAAACGACACGAACTGCCAACTAAGTGTACAATGTTGAGAATATTATGCAGGAAGAGAAAGAGACTAGTAGGCAACCCGTGGCGGCAGCGCGTCTATAAACGTATATTATACTATAAGTGTCTAGATAAATGCATGTGTTGTGTCGTAGGACTTTTCATACGACCGTTTCTTGGCGGTACAAACTAGTAGTAGGCAGAGGACAAAAATCACACTGCCACGGCACTCCTGTGACACAGAGGAGACACCAAGACCGGGGCTTCTACGGGGCGTGGAGGTGGGGGCGGCAAGGCGAGGAGCTACCTTCTTAGAGTAACTCATCCCGTAGTCATCTATGAAAGCCTCTCCACACAGTGACCCACGTCACACTATGCACATTGACTGGGAGCCTTACTCGTATCATTGCTCAGCTACATGACAACCCTCACCCCCACCCCTTAAACATGACAGGTATATATACCATACCAAGAGCTAATATTAGAATCGAATAATACCTAGGTAATAATCTAATAATACCTTTGTATACCTAGGTATATCTAAGATAATCTTTTGCCCATACCATACTATACACTAAGTACTCACGCCTATTACATAACTGCATGCATGACCAAGCCTGCTGCGGTCTACATAGCATCAGGAGTTAATAAAGACAACAAGTGCCGCAGTGCGACAGGGCTCATCTGGTGTCTGGTGTTCTGCTGATAAATTCATTTGTGCATAGCAAGACGTCTTATACATAAGTCTACTTTATTCTTGTTTGACTTTCGTAGCCAATTGGAACAAATATATCAGCTACACTTTTTGCACCCACCTAATCTCTATGCATTGCAGACACATGTGCATTGCAGGTTGGCAGGCAACAATTATGATTAGAAGCGTGCCAGCCATGGGCTGCCCCGTGTTTTTGCCTACCCACACGAGCATTCACTGATTCAGTCTTCAAGGTGCTATAGATAGACTGCTTTAGAAAATAATATGATTTAAGGAGCGTAAACCTTGTTCAACAAACATTTGCCTTTGCAATTAAACTGTGCAACTGTAGCCTCACATTCATAAAGGTATTGGCTCTAATAATAGCAAAAGCAGTTCAGTCCTTTGTTAACAGTCAACAAATCAATGTTTAACCCTCCTCTTGAGGGTCAAAAGGTTATCCGCCACTTACTCTTCGCATGTCAGCGGAAAGTACATTTCACGGTCCTTTCAATAAAGCCATAAAAATGGTAGGTCACCGCTGAAACAAAAAAGTTTTTCAATCGCTCCGTCAGACCATGTCCTCAGAAAATGTCTAAAATCTGCCCTCTGCCCCATTGACCTTTGACCTGTAACCTCTAATTTCGGCACAGTGATGGCTTTTCCTACCATGATGCTATACACCAACTATCACGAGCCTAGGTCGAGCCGTTTAGATTTGTGCCGCAATTCTGCCTTTCCTCCCTATACCTTAAGTTAAGGAGGGAATGTTCCCGTTCTTTTACACCTCTTGACCTTTGACCTTTGACCCCCCAAGCTTCGACATCCCAACTCGTTTTCGGATTACCCCCCCACGTCCCGAATATCGTGACCGTACGTCGAGCAGTTAAGATTTGTGCCCAACTGTTGATGGACGGACGAACGCACGGACGCACGGACAATCATGCGATTCTACAAGCGGCACCTGACTACGTCAGATGAGCTAAAAATATACAAAATAAAGACAATTTGTCTTTATTAACTCCTGATAGCATGTTATTTTATACGTGGGAAATATCACCAGATATCGTATAGTAAATCACAAGCGTAAGAAAAACAGCAACTGCCTACTGGACTACCATAACAACGATAACAATGACAATGACGATGATAGTGACGACGATGATAATGATGACGATGATAATGATGACGATGATAATGATGACGATGATAATGATGACGATGATAATGATGACGATGATAATGAT